GAGGAAATTTTGTTACAGAGCAGTAAACTGGCAGTTTTATCTAAATGTGAGTGTGTTGTCCTCTTTAAAAGTACATCTCCAACCAGTACAGAGTTCGATTGTCCCTTCTTTAGGCTACACAGAGGATAACAGATTAGAAAACTTGTACTGATGTTCACTGAGGGCAAGGATGATTCTCAAAAGAATTCTCATTAAAAAGATACGATGTGTATCAGGATGCAACATATTATCCTGTGGCGGGTCTTTTATGTTCTTAATATCGTGTAATGTATTTTTAGATAGTTATTTTAAAATTTTTACACACATATACACATATATGATATATTCATGTACATATATATGTACATATGAATGTGTATATAAACACATATATAAATACCAAAACAAGATTTATGAAAATTAAAATTCCTGTAAAAGTATAAATCCTACTGTAAAACTAATAATCAGTTTGTTGATGTAAATTTCATTTTTGCTTCCATTATGTGCCATCAGGCAAAGTACATTTTTTATTATCATCATGTATGATCAAAAATTGTTGTATATTTTAGCGTGTTATGTGTTAGATTTTTTTCTGGATTCATCTGATTTTGTAAATATATATAAATCATATTTTTGGTCTAAAGTTTCACCTAAAAATTTGTGAAAATAATAGGTTAGCTTTTCTTTGACCATAAGATCAGAATCATTAAAATCATGTTTAGATCCTCCTTTTTGGCAAACTGCTTTTTTACAGCCTCTTTAAAATTGTGTATCAATAGAATTTCTTCATTTTATTTTTCTGTTACAATCCAGACTATAAAGCAATGTAAATTTTAGTCTCATATGATCTAGAAGGTGAGAATTTTTAATACTGGTCATGATTATAAAAATGTATTCTGAAAAGATGTTAAAAAATAAATAAAAAGGCGCAAGACTTCATTACATGTAAAATTGGTTGCTTTGGGACACACTGCCCCCTCCATAAGTGCTCATCACTCATGTCTATGTATTGAATATTTTGGGATGAGTTTAAAATAGCACAGGTCTCATGAAAAATTTTCTATCCACAATGCCTCCAATCCCCCCCCAAAAAAAGAAGTCTGGATGCAATCTCTACTGTCTAGAATTCCAAAAGCATTTACCTGTATCATTTCATCTGAATGCACCTGTCACTTCCTCAGGTTAAAAGAAGGAGAAAGGATGAAATGAGACAGATAATAGATTTTCAGTGTCTCTTTTACTCCAGGCACTATACTTGTTGCTTACAAACATCATTTTTTTTATTTAAAATATGTATTTATGTTGTGTATTTTATATATTATTGTACAAAATGTATAATATTCTTTGTATAGTTAGACACTTATTATACATTTGCAAATATTTATTTTTGTTATATTATTTTATAATCAAAAAATTCTCTTAAGTTGTTTTTAATTTCCATTTTACAAATTTGGAAACTGAGACCCATAAGTCCTAAGCAGCATAACTAACATTATAAGCCATTGGTTCTAGGATTCTTTGGTTCACTTGATTCAAAAATAAAAATTCAAGCATAACATCATAGCAAATCTAATATACAATGTTAGTTTTTCTTTTCTTCCTGATAGATTATACAACAGTTGTAAAAAATGTCCTTTTGATTCCTCTTCCACCTAGTAGGTTGTGTTGTGCACATTTGTTGTTTTTATGTGCCATTGGGTTGATTCTGACTCATAGTAACCCTACACACAACAGAATGAACTACTGCCCAGTCCTACACCATCCTCATAACTTTAAGCTCATTGTTGCAGCCACTGTGTCAATCCATCTCATAGACAGTCTTCCTCTTTTTCACTCACCTTCTACTTTACTGGGAGCTCTGGTGGCATAGTGCCTAAGGCATTTGACTACTAACCAGAAGGCTGATGGTTCAAACCCTCCAGTCACCTTGAAAGGAAAGTTGGGCAATCTATTTCCATAGTGATATCACCTTAGAAACCCAAGGAGGGGTCACTATGAGTTGGATTCAACTCAAGGTCAGTGAGTTTGGTTTTGGTTCTAATTTACCAGGCATGATACCCTTCTCCAAGGACTATTTCTTCCTGATAAGATGACCAAAGTACATGAAATGAAGTTTTACTCTCTTCACTTCTAAGGAGCATTCTGTCTCCTTCATCCAGACAGATTTGTTCATTCTTCTAGAAGCCCATGAATATTCAATATTCTTCAAAACACCATAATTCAAAAGCATAGAAGCATAGACTCTTCTTCAGTCTTCCTTATTCTTTTTTTTTTTTTTGCATGCATGAGTTGTTATTTTATTTTTTTTTTTTAATGATACAATAGAAAATATTATGGGTCAGGTGCACATTAGTTCTTAAGGTGTCATCTTTGCTTTTTAACACATTAAAATAGTTAAATCTACTGTTTATCACATTAAAGAGTAGATTTTTTTTTTCAGATTTCCTTTTGCAGATTTGTCAATTTGCAATGCATCATTTGATTTCTTGACTGCTTCTTGCATGGGTCTTGATTATGGGTCCAAGTAAGATGCAATCTTTGACAATTTCAATCTTTTATCAGTTTATCATTATATTGCTTATTTGTCCAGTTGTGAAGGTGTTTTTTTCTTTATGTTAAAACATGTTCCATTCTGAAGGCTGTAGTCTTTCCTTACTGAAAATGAACAGGGTTTAAAGCACTTACCGATGAATATCAAAGACTGTAGCTTTCTGTGGATTACTGTGCACAGCAGGTACTAATAAACACATACTAACTCAGTGAAAGACTATATTTTGAATAAAATGGGATTTAATTCCTTGCTAATAAGTAAAAGGAAAAAATAATAAATGCAAACTGTGACCAACTGTGGATGCTAATGTATCATAACAGCTATTTTAAATTCTCCTGAAAAATGATTAAGGAATCCTCATGGCACAGTTGTTAAGCACCCAGTGGTTAACCTAAATGTTGACCCTTGAAACCAGCTGTCCCATGGGAAAAGATATGACAGTATGCTTCTGTAAAGATTTACAGCCTTGTAAACACAATAGGGACATTCTACTCTATCCTGTGGTAGCATAGTGGCTAAGTCACTTGCCTGCTAACCAGACGGCTGGCGGTTCAAACCCACCAGCCACTCCTCAGAAGGAAGGTTGGGCAATCCTACTATCCGTAGTGATACTGCCTCGAAAACCCAAGGAGGGGTCGCTATGAGTCGGGGCTGACTCGACGGCACATAACAACAACAACAACAACTCTATCCTGTAGAGTTGCTATGGGTCAGAATTGACTCAACAGCAATGGGTTTAGTTTTTTGGCTTGATCTTGGAAAATAGCTATGGACCATAATGGCACCAACAGGTAGCAATTTTGTGTATATCTCAAAATCTTTCTACAGAAGGCCTTGAATTGAACCCACCAACCTAAAAGAAGGAACCACTGCTTAGAAAGGTTGACTAACTTGCCACCTTCATACAGTAAAATAAGAAATGAGCTGGGGTGGCAATTTTATGGGTCTCTGGTTCACTTCCATCAGAATTATATGAGCCATTCTGCTAACATTGATTGGTATTGTAACAGTCAATATTTTGGAACAGATGATAGAAAGAGTCAATGAAAATCTTTGGTGATAGAAAAAGTCAGAAGAAACAATTTTAAGACATCACTAAAGAACATATAATTTCTTATTTCAACAAATATTTAACACAAAAATGTCACCTCTGCTTATTCACAGGCACATATGTATACACATGAACAATTTTCATAGAAATCATTTCACTTGGATGACTTGATTCTCCAGAGTCTAATGCCTGATACTCAATTTTATACTATGTATTTGACATTCTGTCACATATTTTGGGCAGTCTGTTACACAAATAATTGCCTTGCAGTTGATAAAGAGAAATGATTAATTCTGATAGGGAATTCTGTCCTAGTGGTTAATACAATAGTCTCTGAGTTCCAGAAAGTCATAAAGTTGCCACCCTAGTTCTTTTCTTATTTTGCTGTATAAATTTGGCAAAGTACTCGACCTTTCTAAATAGTGGTTCATTCTTCTTTTATGTGAAGATAATTATAGTACTTAACTCAATGGCCCTCTTTTCAAAATGATATGTAAATGTACAATGTTTGACAAATAGCAAAGACTCAATATCTGTTAAAATTCACTGCCATCAAGTAGGATCAGACTCATAGCAACTCATCCTTAGGCTTCTGAGGAGGTATCACAGAAGTAGATTGCTTAATCTTCCATCTGAGGACTGGATGGTGGGTTTGAACTACCAGCCTTCTGGTTAGCAGCCAAATATGTGTTAGTTATTATTAAATGCTGAGTTTAGATATAAGATAGTTGTTATTCTCACTGTCCAGCTAGCTTTTGAGCAGCTCTTCTGGTAGAAGTATACTTCAATTAACAATTCCCTTCAAACAGCTTTTATTCACTAGTACCATTACCTATCATCTTGTGAATAAATTATTTGTATTTTATTCATGCACTTGTAATTTTTGTCTTAGCTATCATTAACATAAATGCTTTTCTAAACATGTTAAAATAGTAATAAATATTTAACTTGTTATATATGTTTGCATTATATTAAATAAAGAAAATTTTGAAAAATCTTTAACATTAGCATCACTACATTTTGAGTGAATTCTAGTCCTAGCATCTAGCACCCACACCGGAATATACAGTTGAGATATTCGATGGCTTCTAACAATTTAATGGTAAGAATTCAACATTGTAAGTACAAGGAAATAACAAAAAGGAAAGAAAATGTTGAAGGATAAAGAGAAATATCAGAAAGTAAAAGTCATAACTAAAGCTAAAGCAACCTGTTGCGAAGTAAGACATAGGTGACATCTAAACCTGTAATTACCATAAAATATAAAGCTACTATAACTAATACTAGTTGGTAGAGTGAACATTCTTAGGGTATCAATGGTTTGAGTAAAAACTGACAAGTATTTTTGTCTTTCATTTTTAAAAGCAAAGGAATTCATTTGTTTGACATCTCATCAAATCTTCTACTTCAAGCCACATCATGTTAAACAAGTACATTCTGCTGCTGTTTCTTCAGATAAACCTCCTAGGAACTGCTCATGGTGGGAATATTTTGATATGGCCAATGGAAGGTAGTCATTGGCTAAATGTTAAGATAATTATAGATGAGCTAATTAAAAAAGAACATAATGTTACCGTCCTAGTTGCTTCCGGTGCACTCTTCATCACACCAATTTCTAAATCTTCTCTGACATTTGAAATATATGAAGTGTCCTTTGGCAAAGAAAGAATAGAAGGGGTGATCAAGAACTTTGTTCTGACATGGCTAGAAAATAGACCATCTCCTTCTACCATTTGGAAATTCTATCAAGAAATGGCCAAGGTCATCAAGGATTTCCATACTGTGAGTAGGGAAATCTGTGATGGTGTTCTACAAAACCAAAAGCTGATGCAAAGGCTGATGAAAGCCAAGTTTGATGTCTTGGTATCAGATCCAGTATTTCCTTGTGGTGATATAGTAGCTTTGAAACTGGGGATTCCATTTATCTACTCCTTGAGGTTTTCTCCAGCCTCAACAGTGGAAAAGCACTGTGGGAAGGTACCCTATCCCCCTTCCTATGTTCCTGCTGTTTTATCAGAACTCACAGACCAGATGTCTTTCACTGATAGAGTAAGAAATTTCATCTCCTACCATCTACAGGACTACATGTTTGATACTCTTTGGAAACCATGGGATTCCTACTATAGTAAAGCTTTGGGTAGGTACCAATTTTTATTTTATTATTTGAATTTGCACAGAGAACTTAGTGTCAACCTGTCATTATTTCCCTGTGACTATTCTTTTTTTAATACCATGCATCAATGAACTATCTATTCTTCTCATTTTTTTACTGGGAAAAAAGATAAAAGACAATGTATTTTAGAATGTGTGATACTAATTTTCTGGACTAGAGGATCTCAACTCTGATTTTGTATGGGTAAAATCTAGTGATGAATACTTTAATTTAAAAATGAAATTAGGTTCTTATTTAGATGTTGTATTGGAAACATAAATTGCCTAGAGAATAGAACTGTGTATGAGAAAAGCCAGAAAAAAATGAAGTTTTCTACAAGCTCATTATTAACATAGACATGTGTGTGTGTTTAAGTATATATTTATCTGACTGATCATTTCTCTGTAAAGAGTAATGCTAGAAAAAATATTTTTCCAGTTCATTTACACAATAAGATTTTATCACATTACTTATAAACGGATTTAAGAGAAATAATAATATAATTGGTCAAGATAACTTACCAATTGTAAGCTTATTTGGATGACTTAACCATGATATATTATTTATATGATATGTGAATATGTAACCTAATACATATTAGGAACAAAGCATCCATATTTAGTATGCTGATGTACATGCACATATTAGTCAAAATATCACATAGGTTTTGTATATTGAATATGTTTTATGTATACTTCACTAATTGCAAAGTTTCTACCATTTACTAGCCTCTCCTTTGATAGTGAAATTATAATAAAGACTAAGATGAAGTCTATGTCTTCAATAATTTCACAGTCAAGCATAGAAGTCAGACATAAAGATAATATTTACAATGTAAATGAGATAATGGAAATAAGTAATGAAGATGGTATAGAAATAATCATTAGGTGACAGGGAGAGAGTGGTATTGTGGAAAACTTCAGAGTGGAAGTGATGCACAAGGACATAGATTAAAAAATGAATATGAGTTTTCTTAAAAACTAAGTGTGGGAAAAGAAGCAGTATGCCCTAAGTTTTGAAGACTTGAAATAGCACAGGTGTGCTGGGTATTACTAATGATTCAGTATTTCTTAAGGTCAGAGTATTAGGGCCAGAGGAGGCAGGCACGGAAAGCATCAGTGAAAATACAGGGATGGCAAGAATGAATTAATTCAGTAAATATTTGGCAAAGTATCTTGTATGTCATACTAAACATTTTGTGTTTTTTCTAATAAGCAAATGGGAACTGTTCAAAGGGGTGTATGATTGCTACAGGTACCTTGGTAGTGCAGTGCTTAAGGTACTCAGATAATAACTAAAAGCTCAGCCTTTTGAGCTCACCGGCTGCTTTGCAAGAGAAAGATATGGCAGTCTGCTTCCATAAGATTTGCAGCCTTGGAAACCCTTTGGGGAAGTTATACTTTGTTCTATAGGGTCACTATAAGTCAGAATCAACCCAATGGCAAGAGGTGTCTTGGTTTATGATGGCTACTTTTGGATTTTATAGACCATCGGGATATGGGAATGGTGTGCAGGAAGATGAGGATGTACAGGCAGTCCTCAGGTTGTCAACTTGGGATCTACAACTCCTACTTGCCCTTTAATCACAGCTTCCAATTGGTTCTGTAGGGCTTGTCAGCAAAATAGGAACAAACCAAGATGTTTACAATTTGGGTAATTTCTCACAGTAACTGGAAAGGGAAAACTTATGAGTTGAAGCCCTGGGATAGAGGTGTATTGAGACTTTTCAGGAGTCTAATGTGTGTGCTCTGGTAGCATAGTGGCTAAGACACTTGCCTGCTAACCAGAAGGCTGGCGGTTCAAACCCACCAGCCACTCCTCGGAAGGAAGGTTGGGCAATCCTACTTCCGTAGTGATACTGCCTCGGAAACCCAAGGAGGGGTCGCTATGAGTCGGGGCCGACTCGACAGCACATAACAACAACAACAACAATGTGTAATACTGGGTTTTTGGCAGGATTCTAGAGCATCACTACTAAGTAGTATGAAATCATTCCAGCTGCACTTCATTCATGGCAGTAAGGTCAGTAGCCATTTTTTACTGGGGCTCCATCATCTTTGAAGCCCTGCTTTGTTATTGTTGTTTTTAGGTGTCATTGAGTCAGCTCCAACTCATAGCAACCTTATGTACAATAGAATGAAACACTGCTCCAGTTTTGCACCAGCCTCACAATCCTTGCTATACATAAGCCCATCATTGTGTCCACTGCATAAATCCATCTCACTGTGGGCTGTCCCCTCTTTTGCTGACCCTCTACTTTACCAAGCATGATATCCTTCTCCAGGGAATGGTCCTTTCTGACAAAATGACCAAAGTAAGTGAGACAAAGTCTGGCCATTTTCACTTTTCACTTTCAAGGAGCATTCCAGCTGCACTTCATCCAGGACAGATTTGTTCACTCTTCTAGCAGTCCATGATACTTTCAGTATTTTTTGCCAGCATGATAACTCACAAACATCAACTCTTCTTCAGTCTTTCTTATTAATTGTCCAGATTTCACATGCATATGAGGTGATTCAAAATAACACAGCTTAGGTTAAGTGCACCTTAGTCTTCAGAGACATCTGTGCTCTTCAGCACTTTAAAGAGGTCTTTTGCAGCAGATTTCCCAGTGCAATATGTCATCTGATTTCTTGACTGCTGCTTCCATTGTTGTTGACTGTGGAAATAAGTAGTATGAAATCTTTGACAACTTCAATCTTTTTTCCATTTATCATGATTCTGTTTATTGGTCCTGTTGTGAGGATTTTTGTTTTCTTTATGTTGAGATGTAATCCATTCAGCAGACTATAGTCTTCAATTTCATCTGTGTAAGTGCGTCAATTCATCTTCACTTTCAGAAAGCAAGGTTGTATCATCTGTATATTGCAGGTTGTTAATGAGTATACCTCCAATCCTGATGCTGCATTTTTCTTCATATAGTACAGTTCCTCTGATTATTTTCTCAGCATACAGACTGAATAAATACGGTGAAAGGTTACAACCCTGGCACACTCTCTTCCTGATTTCAAACCATGCAGTAACCCCTTGTTCTGTTCAAACAACAGCTTCTGGTCTATGTACATGAGCGCGATTAAGTGTTCTAGAATTCCCACTCTTCTCAATGCTAACCCATAATACGTTATGATCCACACAATTGAATGCTTTTGCATAGTCAATAAAACACATTTCTATCATTCTTTGCTTTCAGCCAAGATAACATCAGCAATGATATCCCTCATTGCATGTCCTCTTCTGAATCCAACTTGCATTTCTGAAAGTTCAATGTCAATATAATGCTGCAACCATTTTTTAATTATCTTCAGCAAGTTTTTACTTGCATGTGATGTTAATGATATTGTCCAATAATTTCCACATTCTGTTGGATCACTATTCTTTGGAATGGTACAAATATGGATATCTTTGTGTCAGTTGGCCAGGTAGCTGTCTTCCAAATTTCTTGTCACAGACAAGTAAGTGCCACCAGCATGGCATCCATTTGTTGAAACATCTTAAGGGCTATTTGTCAATTCCTGGAGCCTTGTTTTTTGCCAATCCTTTCAGTGTAGCTTTGACTTCTTCCTTCACTACTGTTGGTTCTTAATCATATGCCTTCTCCTGAAATATATGAACATTGACCAATTCTTTTTGGTACAGCGACTCTGTGGATTCCTTCCATCTTCTTTTGATGTTTCCTGCATCATTCAATACTTTGTCCATAGACTCTCCCAACATTGCAATGTGAGGGTTGATTTTTTTTCTTCAGTTCTTTCAACTTGAGAAATGCTGAGAGTATTCTTCTCTTTTGGTTCTCCAACTCCAGGTCTTTGCACATTTCATTGTAATAATTGACTTTGTCTTCTCTAACTGCTCTTTGAAATCTTCTGTTCAGTTCTTTTATCTTGTCATTTCTTCCATTTGCTTTAGCTGCTCTCCATTCTAGAGAAAGTTTCAGAGTCTCTTCTGACATCTATTTTGTTCTGTTCTTCCTTTCCTGTCTTTTTAATGACCATTTGCTTTCTTCATGGATGATGTTCTTAAAGTCGTCCCAGAATTCATCTGGTTTTCAGTCATTGGTGTTCAGAGTACCAAATCTATTCATGGATGGTCTCTAATTGCAGGTAGGATATAATAAAGGTCATATTTTGGTTCTCATGTATCTGTTTTAATTATCTTCAGCTTCAACTTGAATATACATATAAGCAATTCATGATCTGGTCTTGTTTTGGCTGAAGATACTAAGCTTCTCCATCTCCTCTTTCCACAGATGTAGTTGGTCTAATTTCTGTTGATTCTATCTGTTGAAGTCCAAGTAGCTGTCATTTATCTTGTTGAAAAAAGGTGTTTGCAATGAATAAGGTGTCGGTCTTGCGAAATTTTGTCATGCAATCTCTGACATCATTTCTATCACCAAGGCCATATTTTCCAATGACCAGTGATTCTTCTTTGTTTCCAACTTTCACATTCCAATCACCAGTAATAATTAGTACATCTTGATTGTATGTTTGGTCAATTTCAGATTGCAGAAGTTGATAAAAAACAAAATTTCCTCTTCTTTGGCTTTGGTGGTTGGTGTCTAAATTTGAATAATAATAGTATTAACTGGTCTTCCTTGTAGGTATATGGGTATTATCCTATCACTGACAGCATTGTACTTCAGGGTAGATCTTGAAACTTTTTTTTTTTTTTTTTTTTTTGTGACATTGAATGCTACACCATTCCTCTTCAATTTATCATTCCTGGCATATGGTTGCCTGATTCAAAATGGCCAAAACCAGTCCATTTCACCTCATTAGTGCATAAAGTATCGATCTTTATTTGTTCCATTTCATTTTTGACGACTTGCCATTTTCCTAGATTCATACTTCATACATTCCATGTTCTGATTATTATTGGACATTGCAGCTATTTCTTCTCATTTTTATTCATGTCACATCAGGAAATGGATGTCCCAAAAGATTTATTCCATCCATGCCATTAAGGTTGACTCTACTTTGAGGAGGCAGTTCT